TAGACCGCAACCTCACGACGGTGCATAATATTATACAGTGACGTGAAGTTTTTAACTTTATTAGTTACCTACTTAAATAATTGTTACTAGAACAGGGTATAACGGCAATTTGTCAAACTGAATGTATAAAAAAAAATCAGAAACATAACTCATAAATCATTGAATTAAATACACGTTCTCTCCCTAAGGCTACATTTGCAAATATGCACGCGTTTAAAATTAGGTTTCCAGCAATTAAATTGGAATGAACAGCACATTCTGTTTATTACCCATGCAGTGATAACGGATCTCGAGCGGCGGAATTTTATCTCGGCGCATGTATCCGGAAGCGTAATTTTTTATTTTATTAGCGGCTGTTAAAAGTGAACTTGTAAATTCTGCCTAATTATGGTGCGATGTCCTTGCCGTGTGTGCAGTTGCAGTCTCAGAGAATGCGAGTATCCAATATTTCGATTTCATGGATGTTGTTTAACAGTGTAAGACAGATAGTGGAAATAAAAAATACCTAATTGCAATTGCAACCACACAGGTGGCGGAGAGTAGAATTTTTCTTGTTTGGGAGATCCTAATTTATTAATGTTTTTTGTTTTACCAAGGTCTACCAAATTTTGGCTATAATATAATATGTAGTAATGTTGATTTTGAGGTTTGTTTTATAAGGAGTTTCGTTCTGCGCTCCTTATTTTAATATAGTATAACACCTACCATAGTAAACCGTATTCGCAGTATCCTCACACTGACCATCATTACAGGAAGTATCGCATATTTTTATTTGCGAGAGGGTTTTAATATGCTGCGATGAGCGGACGTGGTAAGGAATAAAAGTCTTTAATACTGGATAACTACTGATGTCTATTGATTAAACTTTCCAATATATATAGTGGTTATTCGCTACATAATATCAGTAACTAATAGGTATATAACGATATACCACGTTTATATTATGATCACCTTTCAGTGTCTTGCTCTATATACCAACGCCTTATATGGATTACAATAGATAGGAGTCTAATTATAATATATCTAGCATCCTCTTCTTATGGGGTACACATGTTGATCTCATATTTCATTAAGATACCTACACGTTACTTATACTGTATTTCTATATATTTTTATGCATTATTTCTGTATAGGTATACTATCACTACAATGCCTTTGCGGATCAGATCGGTTCCCAAAAGTACCAATAACTAATACTAACTACTAGTCGAGAGCTTAGAAGCTGTGGGCACTCGCATTTATCCTTCACGAGTTATTCCAGTTCGATCGCTGCTGGTGCATTTTAAAGAAACTTTTATATTTTGCGAAAATAAAATAGCAAAAACCGCGAATAAAATAATTTTAAATTTTGTAACACTTTGTACAACTGATTTCAATATAAATCATTAAGAATAACTCAAAAACTGTTGATGTAGTCTTTATCAAATTTATATGGGACCACATGTGAAGCACCAGCTTTGAAATAAAAAAAGAATCATCGAACATAAAAAAAATACAGTCGAATTGAGTACCGTCTCCTTTTTGAAGTCGGTAGAAAAAAGTATCTGTTCGGAAAGAGAGGTGTCGTGGAATCTGAGGACATAAGAATCTCCCAGTAGTGTTTTTATTGTGTGGTCTTATTATTAAGTGATTATGAATGAAACGTAAGATTTTGATAATATAAAAGAAATTAAAGTAAAAAGTAATGATATAACTGCCTACGTACGTCCCACTGCTGGGTCTCTCATCCCTTCGCTCAGTTATGAGAGGATACCTTTACGGGAAAAAATATATATTTACGTGTTTATGACCGCTATAACTGTGTTCGTGTTGTTTAAAAGAATTATTGTGTATTGAATAAAACTAATTTTATGGATTTCATCGAGTTTAATTTAACTTATTTTTAATTTAATTTAAAATTAAAATAAGTTTAATTAAACGAGATAAAATCCGTAAAATACCGTGGAAACTTCGTTAGTTAAAAGTATGTTAATTAAGTTAAATTAAACACGATAAAATCATTAAAATTAGTTTCATTCAATGTCAGGTATTCGTGTAAATATAAGAAATCATTAATTATTGTTTAGTTGAAATATTATTTCATTTTTCCGTCACCTAGCGAGTCAACTCGCCCGATTAAACGCGCCCTTTCTCTGCTGCGATACACATTATATTTTTGTCTACTATTGATTATACAAGGCATTTTCACCCTTAAGGCGACCCCATTTTATTTCTCTATTTTATGCCTCATGTTTTGCGATACAATATAAGTTCATATATTTTTTTCTTTACGGTTAGGTAAATAACATTTTTATTTATATTGCCTAATTCTTACATTTAAAAAAATGTATTTAAGACATGTAGCTTGAAAAGCTGACAACCAATAGGGAAGAAAGGTTCTCTCTCTAGTGGCAGCCTCGAACCGGTATGCGAAGTGTAGGGCTGCCAATCTTCGTAGGAGTAAATAGTATAGTGAACGTGTCAAAAAAAATGCATACATAAATATGTCTGAATATGTCAAATATAGAAATATGATACATATAATCAATTGTACTCTCTGCCAACTGTTGACGAGTATGTTTACCTGGGACAAATAGTCCGACTAGGTAAGTCCAATTTCGACTGAGAGGTCAATCGACGGATTCAACTCGGCTGGGTAGCGTTCGGGAAATTACGGCACATCTTCTCGTTAGACATACCTCAAAACTTGAAAACGAGACTGTACAACCAATGCGTGTTGCCAGTGATGACCTATGGAACTGAGACGTGGTCCTTCACTGCTTGCCGGATGAGGAAGCTCAAGGTCGCTCAACGAGCTATGGCTATGCTCAGGTTTTCTCTGCGTGATAAACTTAGAAATGAAGATATCCGCAGTAGAACCAAAGTGGCCGACATATCCTAACGGATTAGTAATCTCAGCTCAGGACCGTGCTTTGTGACATTCCTTGGGGAGGCCTCCCTATGTTCGGCAGTGGACTTGTGATGGGCTGTAATGATGATGATGATGACTCTCTGATAAACTGTCCTGTAAAATAAAAACATACTTATGATTATAACTTTATACTACTTCTAAATTATTAGTTATGATTTATAAGTACTTTTAGAATTATTCTGATATTAAAATATAGATATGAAGCTATATTTTATTTCTTAAGTTCTTTTCTCAGTGTAATGTACAGAGCGACATTTGTATTCAATTATAAGAGATTTTATTAATAAAAAAATTTAGTAATTGTAGACCTAGTACTAACAATACACCTGTCACTGATCGGTAACAACATGATACAATGTACACGATACAATCTTACTCTCCCAGTACTTGCTGCTCCGGTTGAAGTCAGGAAAAATTTATACAAATAAATAAAATTGAAGTGTCTGTTTGTAATGTCAAAATAACAGCTTTTAGCATATAAAAGTAAATATAATTAAAAAAAATTTGATGTCTTGCCTTTTGTTTGTTCGGGTTAATCTCCGAAACGGCTGGACCGATTTTGACGGCATTTTCATTTATTTATATATTGGGTCTACCAGCAATTTTACAATACATACGTTACATACATTTCTTAAAGTATAATTACTATATTACTTGTACACAGTATGTAAAATCATTTAAAGGTAAACACTACATGCTATTTTTGCTAGTGTTAGTGAATAAATTTAAAAGTAAGTTAATAACAGAAAAAAAAACAAAACCAGAAACAAACAAAAAAAAACACAATCGTAATTTTGGTAAAAGCCTGTAAAACCTTATCAATTTAAACAACAAAAGAGATTTAATCAAACTAATAATTAGTCTTTCAATTAAAATTACAACTTAATTTAACAACTATCATAATCTAACCCAACTATATATATATATTATAAGAAATTAAAAGAAAATATAAGTAATAATTAATATGAAAAAAAAAAAATCACACTCAGGATGACTGGCTGACTAGGTTCATTGGCAGATAGCTGATGTTATAAGGAGTAACTTAGGCTACTTTTATTTTAGAAAAAGAAATAAGGTTCCGCGCAAATATTTAAAACCCATGAAGTCCAATCATAATATGTTCACACGGAATAAGTCGCAAGGAACAGCTCTAGTGTAGTAATACATAAATTAAATGATTTCGATTCAAGTCGATGAAACACCACAATATCACCGACTTCAGTAGCTATTATGTGGGAATTATTTTATACTATTAAGTTTTTGTAGTTGATTTTTACTTTGTAAAGGTTTAATTTTAATTTATTACTTCTGTGAAATTGTGGTAGTAGTCACAAGTAAAACGCACCGAAGTCTCAATCACGCTATCAAAATTCTGTAGTACACCGGTATATTTAGAATAGCTCTGTACTACCACATGGAGCGTTGACCGCTCCCGGCCGTGAACCTCTTGCCCGACGGGAGAACTCCCCATTTCTTTCCACTGCCAGAGTGGTGATCAACTTACGTGATGTGAACGCGCGCAACATGCAACCTTCGGAAACTATAACTTCAAGTCTTCGCCATTATAAAATAACCCTACTATTCACTCCAAAGGATCGTCTCTTGCAGTTCACTTGATGGTAAGTGGATGCTGCGGCCCTACTACATTTATCCTCGATTAAGAATCAAAATGCAGATGCGTTGTCACCCATGAGGACCAAGATGGAACGCCTCGTTTCCAGTAAAAAGGGTATCCGGTTCTCTACACTCACCATACGAAACATCAGCACTGAGCTGCTATTTTAAGCTGCTATTCTGCGAGAACGTGGTCCTACCCCGTTCGAGCAGACCCATCCTGCTACAACCATAATATAGTTGCAGCGTGGAACTACCACGTCTAGCTTGAATCTTAAAAACTTAAAATTTTAAATAAAACTAGTTTTTACGGATTTTATCGCGTATATGAACTTGAAACGAATGAAACGTCGGGAAAATAAAATAAGTTAATAATATACGCGATAAAATCCGTAATAACCAGTTTTATTTAAATGTGTAGTGTTCACGTAAATATAAGAAATCATTATTCACGGTAAACCTTTGTCTCTGTTAGGAGAAAGACCTTCAATCCGACCCTAAGGAGATGGAACTGGCGCGTCAGCTCAGCGACTGCCTGTCGATCGTACTTGACTCTGTGCTGTGCTCGACTCGGCTCCACGAGGAGAAGCCCAGGGCGAAGGAAGACGTGCAATTGCTGGGCTCGCTGAGAAACAGGGCTCATATGATTATCAGGTAAGTTATACTTCTAGTAACATTGAATAAGATAACCTATATGTTTTTAGCACACACGTTTCGTTTTGGGCTTTATTCGTCCAAACAATTTAAATATTTTTTAAAAGAAGACTCAACTCACTGTGATATTTGTCGAACTGTTGAAGTTGTGCGTTATATTATATTGTGTTCCCATATGACGAAAAGAGCAATTTTTTTTATTAAATTAAAAAATAAATAAATTAAGGAGGAAGCGTCGCTCTTTCTTTTTCGACCGATTTCAAAAAGGTGGAGGTACTCAATTCGACTGTATGTTTTTTAATGTGTGCTACCTCATAACTTTTTTCATGGTGAACCGATTTCGATGATTCTTTTTTTGTATTTGAAAGTTGACCAATAGTTTTTGAGTTATTCTTAATAATTTGTATACCTATAATCATGCTTATGTTAAGATAATCGGATATTCCGATTTCACGTGAATTTATGTTCTTAAAGGCTGTTGATTTTCTGAATAGATAAATTTATAAATTAACTATCTGGCCCGGCAAACGTCTTTCTTCCCTTTCTGGCTGGCGATGTGTTCCATTTTCTTTAGACTTATTACACGTATAGCTAAATCCTCTATGACTCATAGAACCATCAGCAGACATTACGACACTAAACTTAAAAAAAGGAAAGACATAACCTTTCTTTTTTACTCTTTCGTAAGGTAGAGTCATGCAGCAGCTCGACCGGGGAAGGACCACGCTATCATAGAATACCAGCGTAAAATAGCAGCTTGACACTGCTGTGTTTTTCCTATGGTGAGTGTAGAGAACCGAATACCCATTTTACTGGTGACGGATGACTGACTCACGGGTGACGACGTATCTGCATTTTGATTCTTTATTGAGGATAAATGTAGATGTCTATGGGCCACAGCAACCACTCACCATCAAGTGGACTATGTGCTCGTTTGTTACCCTTATTCTATATAAAAAAAGGTGGTAGGACTCCTTTCTTACCTAGGAGTCCCTCTGAGTACCGAGGTGCTTACCGACACTCTTACGTATTTCTGTCGGTAAACAGAAGTGCTTGTGCACTACTGTGTTCTGGTGTGAAACGTATAGAGAGCCAGTATAATTATATACTGTCTGTGTGGCATTCCATCCTAATCTACAGAGGTGACAACAAGGGTTACCACCATTATTTTGAACATATGTAGTATTTTTCCCAACAAAGATGGAAAAATATAGTACTTTTTCTAGTATTTTTTTATAGGATAAGTGTGACAAACGAGCACACAGTCCACCTGATGTTAAGTGGTTGCTGCGGCCCATATACATCTACATCTATCCTCTATTACAAATCAAAATGCAGATGCGTTGCCACCCGTGAGGACGAAGATGTAATGCCTCATTTCCAGTAAAAAGGGCCTCCGGCCACCTGCACTCACCAAGCGAAACGCAGAGGTAAACTTATACTTCACGCTGGTATTCTGTGAGGTCGTGGTACCACCCCGGTTGGAGCCGGCCCATCCGTGCGACAGCAAAAGCTGCCGCGTGGCTCTATCACTGTTGGAGTAATATAGTACCAGCGATTTTTCCGGACCGATACGACTTAGGGACCTTCAAGAAAAGAGCCTACTCCTTTTTAAAAGGCCGGCAACACATCTGCAATTCCCCTGGCTCCCCTGGTGTTGCAGTTGTTTATGGGCGGCGGTAGTCACTTACCATCAGGTGAGCCGCACGCTCGTTTGCCCCCACTCCTATAAAAAAAAACCTTTTGGTAAATTCAGGAAATAAATAGTACACGTTTATTTTTAATCTTTATGTATTTTTCCATATATATTTGTTATTTGCTTTTCGCTTTGGCCATCAATGATCTATTTTAAATATGGACTCGCATTTGGCCGGTTTTATATTAACTGTGACTGAAAGTCTGGAACAAATACGTTTTACTTGCGTTTTAATTTTTTTTCCGTCATGAATGTAAAATGGATAGAAAAAGGAAATAGAGCATGTATTAATTTAATTAAAAATGATTGTTAATTTATTTTAAAATGAATTTAAATTGCACAGATCCCTATATTTTTAAGGTAATACATCATTGATAATGCTAAAGCGAAGAGCAATAATAAATATGTATGGGAATATACATAAAGATTAAAAATAAATGTGTATTTTTGTATTTTTTATTTCCTTAATTTCCCAAAAATACTATACTTTTGCATCTGTTTTTTTTTTTTGGGAAAAATACTATATTTGTTCAAAAAAAGGTGGCAACCCTTGTCTGAACCTGTCAAAACATGATTTATTGTAGAATTAAGTCGATACGTTATGTCAAGGTTCAAAGTTGAAAATATTCGTTAAATATTGGTCTTCCACTACCTAACGAATTACCTATACCTTCTATTTATATTCGGCAATGATTAGAATTCGTTATAAAAAGGTTTGTGATAAATGTATTCGTAATGTAGAAGCATAGATTAATGATAAGTCAGAGCGCGCGATGACTTAGCGTGTAGAAGTATATTTTGCATTAGCTCTTACGGGCAGTGCTAGGGGATTTAAAAAATTTCATAAATCGAGGAATTCGTTACATTGAGACTTGTATTATCAAGCTTACACTGTATAATTAAATATTTATTATGTTAAGAATTAGAAGAATAGGAACCCATTAAGTTAACTAGTGTTATCATTTCACCATTATTGTTTTATACTTTACTTTATTATTATTATAATTCTTATAATGACAGCATGTTCCACACTTATCGCTTTTGATGTTTTTCTAAAGATGGAATTTGAAGGGGCAAAAAGTGTCTGAAAATATTATCATAGGTTTTTTATTTGCTTACACGTGGCGACAAATTTACTTAGTGTTTATTTTTGTGTATTCGAATTTTCAACTTTATTTTAAATTATAAGAGTCCATATTACCTTGCGCGGTCTTAGAAGGTGTGACCAGCCTCATAGGCATCATAATCTAATTTGTCTAATGCACTCACACGACGCCCCTCTGTAATATCGGGGGTGGAATAGCGGACATAAAGTTTAGTAAGGGTTATACCGCGTGTTAAGGCAATTTATACTTTATTACGTATAGTGAAGGTTCATTCTTGTGAAAAGATGTATTTTAAATATATTTAGTGGGATTGGGAATGAAACAGTCTGGGCTTTTTCAAGTTATGAGTAATGCCAGTGGTGATTGGTGTGACGAAAATTATTTTTGTTAATTGAACACTGCATACAGTTCTATTATATATCTTTAACCGTGTAGTGGCGGTGTAAGAATATCCACTACCCCATATCGTCCCGTGGGTGTCGTAAGAGGCGACACAGGGAAACAAATCAGGAGATTAACAGCAGTCATGCTGACTCAATATTTTAATTCCTCCCTCTCCTTTCCACCATCGGACAACCAGGCGGTCGGCGGACCTTCACCATTTTGCTGTCGATATTCCACGCATTAGAACCAAACTGTTTGTGAAATGCGTCTGAATTTTTTTATAGGATCGAGTGACAAACGAGCACACAGTCCACCTGATGGTAAGTGGTTGCTGTGGCACATAGAAATCTACATCTATCTTCGATTACGAATCAAAATGCAGATAGATGCGTTGTCATCCGTGAGGACTAGGATGGAATGCCTCGTTTCCAGTGAAATGGGTTTCCGGTTCTTTACACTCATCATACGAAATACAGCAGTGACAACACACCAACATTTACGCCGGTATTCTGTGAGAGCGTGGTCCTTCCCCGGTCGAGCCGACCCATTCGTGCTACAACAATATTACTAATATCTGCATGCAACATGACTCTACCACGTTAATTAAATGTAATTCCGTCTGAATACAATAAGTCTTCAAGGTGAGAGCGGATAGACTTTTGTTGCGCTAAGGCACTGCCGATTTACTATCTACGATCTTTATCATCTTCATCACTACTTACCACCAGATGAGATTATAGTCAAGCACTGGCATAAAATAAGTAAAAAAAAAAACTGAATTTCATTTTTAAACTTGTGTAGAGTGGTAGTGTGGTAGAGTCATACTGCAGCTATATTTTGGTTATAGCACGAATGGGTCGGCTCGATCGGGGCAGGACCACGCCCTTACAAAATATCAGCGTTAAACAGCAACTTAATTTTGCTGTGTTTCGTATGGTGAGTGTAGAGAACAGGAGACCCTTTTTACTGGAAAAGGGGCATTCCATATTAGTCCTCAGGGGTGACAACGCACCTACATTTTGATTCTTAATCAAGGATAAACGTAGTAGAGCCGCAGCATCCACCTACCATCGGGTGGACTGCAAGAGACGATTCTTTGGAGTGAATAGTAGGGTTATTTTATAATGGCGAAGGCTTGAAGTTACTCTGGGGTGACAACGCGTCGTCAACAGTCACTACAGTTTGTTCAGTTTGCGACATGAGCTCAACGGAAACGAGCGGCTTTCTTTTTCTTCAGTCTTGGTTGGTTTAGCTTTGTTAAAATGTAAAAGATTCATGTAATAGTAACTGATACTCATAAAGTACAACACCGCCGCTGCTTCCACAAGACATTTTTCCCGCCTAGTTCATTGTCATATCTAGGTAACCTCTAGTGTAACCACACTACTTCACGCGGTAATTCAGGCAGTAAAATTATTGCGGTAAACTGACGGTAGACGGTAAGGTAATTTGGCCGTATCTCTTCAAGTATATTTCTGATATATTAACTACGGTAGGTACAATTCCGTTATGATATTTAATTGTTTGAACTTGCCTACATACTTATTTTATACTAGCTGTTCTCCGCGACTTCGTTCGCGTGTTAGGGTTTTTATGTTTCTGCGCGGAACCCTGATTCTTTTTCTAAAATAAAAGTAGCCTATGTTACTCCTTATGAAATCAGCTATCTGCCAGTGAAAGTCCCGTCAAAATCGGTATAGCCGTTTCGGAGATTACCCGGAACAAACAGACAGACAGACAGACAGACAGACAAAAATTTTAAAAATTGTATTTTAGTTATAGGTATCGTATTTACTTTCATATGCATTTAGTAA